GCTGAACCCATGCTGTGGCCCAGGACATCAGTGCTGTCCTGGTAATCTGCTCTGGTTCTGACACCGAGTATGAAGACAAACCTGTGCAGCCAAAGGCGATCCAGTCCCCAGAGCTGTTGATGGCGACTGAGGAGATCCTCTGATCTGAGATGCTGAGCAGAAAGGCATCAGTGTGAGAAGGCAGGAGTGTCTGGCCCCTGGGCCACTGAGCCCTCCCTTCCTGCTGCAGGTTCTGCATCCACCCAGCCTACCCACGTGTCAAGATTTCAACGAGCTGTTTTTAAAACCCCAGAGAAGACCCAGAGGGATGGCTAGTGTTCAACCCTGGAAGCTTCCATTTTGTGAAACTGGTGTTTTAATGTTTTCTATGTCCCAAAGATGAAGAATGAGAGCACAAAGAGGACAAAAAATAAAACAAGATCCATGTCTGAGACCAAAGCTCGCTGGGACTGCCTCAGGCAGCAACTCCGAGCTGTTCTCTATTTGAGGCTAGGCAAATGTCCTGGGAGAGCCTCCTTGTGGCTCTGGCTCTCACCGCCATGGCAGACAAAGCTCAGCCTTCTGCTAGCCCATAACCACCATACCTGCAGCGAGCAGAGGCCTCACCTTAGGGAGTGGATGAGGTTGAACTCTGGGAGCTCATGAAGATGGAAGACCCCAGAAGCAAAACCAGTGACCAGGAGGTGGGTCTTCTTGTGATAGGCAGCAGCTGTCAGGTTGTTGAAATCTCCTTCCTTATTGAAGAAGTATCTAAGCAGCCAAGAGATGGAGGAGCTGTGGGAGGAGGACCCCAGAGCCAGGCTTCCCCAACCCGACTTAGTCCAGGTTTGAGGACAGAGGCCACAGCTTGGCACAGGGCCTCCCAGACCACACCTCCAACTTCTCTCCTTCACTTGTGGTGCTGGAGCTGCCCTCCTGCAGGTCTCCACTCTCATCTGCTGACCCTGAGCCAGATACTGGTGGGACTGTCCAGGGGAAACAGCACCCCAGCAGGGAAGGGCTAGGGACAGGGTAAAGCACGGCATGGCCACCAGGCAGGTCCAAGCCCCATCAGACCCCACAACTCCCACCTCCTCCTCTTCTAAACAGATCATCAGTTCCCAACCACAGACATCGTGACCCTGAGAGCACCTCCCTCCCCACGTCCCCTTCCCTCTCACATGCCTGACTGTGACCTCTGGCCAGTGTGGTGGGCCTTCCTCCCTCACACTGCCAGACACAGTCCCTGCCCAACAATTGTCCCTTCTACTAAATTTCCCAGAGCCTTCTGCTACTGCAATTCACCAAGATGGGCCAGCCATTCCTTCCTTCCACAGGGGTCTCCTTCAGTCCCCACCTAAGCCCTGACTCCAGTCAGCATGTCCTCAAGCTCCCAAGCCCATTCAGACCTGCTCCAGCCAGCCCTAGCTACAGCAGCTCACAGCAGAGCATCCTCCTGGCCATGGGGTCCAGCCAATACGCCTTCTCAGACCCTCTACCCACCCTCATCACTTACATGCTTGCTGGGATCTGCACACACTAAATCCAATCCAGTGCAGCTGCCCTAGCCTCCCTCCAAGGTCCTGCTCCTCTTCCTCCCAATGTCAGCTCACTTCAAGCCAGAAAACGCTCCTGGAGTGGAACTGACCATGGGTGTCTCCCTTCACCCCAGCACTGCATCACACTGCTACCTGTCACCCCACGCAGTCACCACCTTGTTCTGCGCTTCCTCTCCCCAGCTGAGAGAAGCATCAAGAGTAGGAAATGAATTCTCAGCATCAAGGACAGAACCCACCACAGAGTGGGTGCCAAAGAATTGGGTGGAGGTTGTAGACTAGGGTGCCTAAACAATAGGGCAGGTGACAGGAGATGCCACAGCCACCCTGGGGCCATGGTCACTCCATAGCTGCTGCCAGCCCTGCTTCAAGTGCCCTTGACCAGCTTCCCACATGGGCCCAGGACAGGAGCATCAGTACTCCTGACCCTGGAAGTGTCCCAGGCAAGGCAACAACTGCAGCCTGGGAAGAAACACACTACAGCAGGTCCATGGGCCTGGGGTTGCAGCTGGACTCACATCCAAGTCTGTGGGCTGGAGCCTAGGCTGCAGGGGCCTGGATGAGACTGAGTAGGCAGGAAGGCCCAGCCTAGCACCTGACCCGGGCACCTGGAGCCTCTGGGAGGTGCTAGGCCTAGTCGAGGCTGCAGACATTCTGTCTGGAGGCGAAGCCTGTCCCCAGCCTACTCCTGCCTGGCATCTCCCCTAGGTTCCCCAGTGGCACTGTTTACTTAGATTTTGCCAGAGAATATATGCATTTCCCAGAGACAGAGAGAAAGAGTAAAAATGAGAAAACGTCTCCGTAGGGAATGATTACAATACAATCCCTTCTCCTCCGTCTCTCCTCCAGTTGGGATTTTGGGTAGGCACACACACATGCTTGGTATGTCTTCCAAGCCACCAGGTCCAGGACTTGAACTGTGTGGTTGGCCAAATGGGATTCAGCCGCTTTAACTTTCCCACAGTGCCTTCCCCCATCTTGGTTCTTGACTCTCACCGAGTGCACCACTGCCTGCTTCATGTCCCCCACAAGGCCACAGCCTCACTCATGCCAAACACTGCAGAGGCTGGTAGAGCCATCAACAGCCCCATCGGGTACCAGGGACAGACCCATTCCTGTCACCACACACCTGGCATCACCACTGACATCTAGCCTCCCTCCTGCCCTTGCCCTGCCCCACCCTAGGAGAGAGGTAAGTGAAACAGCAGTGGGGTCTCAACCTGCAGTGTGCCTAAGGACTCTGACACCTGGGCCTGCAGAGTGCAGCCTGTTTTCTGGATGTCCTGATCCTTGCCCTGGAGACATCCCAGGATCCCCCACACTGCAGTCCTCCCTCCGTGAGACCTACTTGGCCAGCCGCGAGTACTTCACTTTGCCTGTCCGCTCGTCCTCAGCTGGTGTGGCCTTCCCACGGATGGTGGTCTCCTTCTCCCCCTCCTCCTCCTGCTCCTCCTGCTCGCGCTGCAGTAGGTCAGCCTTCCAACCCGCAGGGGCCTTCAGCCTCAAGCCCTCAGGGGATGTGTCACACTGCCACACACACAGGGCTCCATCCTGGCTGAGTGAGTACAGCTACAAGAGGAAGCACAGGGTGGGTGTAGTTGCGGACCCTAGACCCACTGGCCTGGGCTGCATCCCCAGGAACCCCTTGGCTCAGCCCCTGGCTCCAACTCCACAGAAGGTACCGAGCTGGGAGAGAACAAAGCCCTAAGCAACAGCCACTCTCAGGCCCTAGAGAGCCATCAGCGGCCTAAGAGAGGCCACACAGAGGCTCAGGGAAAAGCAGCCTCCAGGGTTCACCCTGTGCTCTCCGCTCTGTAGGTAATGCTATCGGGCTAGGAATCATGGCATAGGGACGTACGTCCAGGCTGTTGGACTCGAAGAAACAGGCCACAATGGCATCCTTGTGTCCTCCCAGAGCGTAGTAGATGAGGTTGTCCCAGCGTTCTGCTCCAAACACCCAGGTGGACATGTCTTTGCTGCCGACCACAAAGCACCTGCAGAAGACAATGCACCTCCTCAGGCTGGGGACAGGCATTGCGGGCTGTTAGGACAGCGCACCAGTCTGCTCTCTGAGGCCCGCGTTATCTCCCTGCACTGAGCTCTGAGAAGCCTCCATGTGAGGGAAGATGTCATCGTAACCCATCTGCTCCAGTGCGCCTCCCCTCCTGGGGCCTTAGCAGCAGCATCCTCCTACCTTTCCCAAGAACAGGAACTGCTCCTCCTGCCTCTCAGATGCAGCCTAAGACTGCGATCAAAGCAAACTCCATTTGTGGGGTAGAGTGAGATGTGGAACTCGGGGCAGTGAGGAGAGATAGCATAAACAGTGTGCTAGCCCCAGACTCAGTCCTCAGCATGTTGGTAAGCCATGCTGCCCTGAGCTGCCCCTTCCCCATGCGGGTGGCCCGGGTTCACGCTGTATGAGCAAAGCTGGTCCCATGACAAGGCCACATCACCACCAGCCTCCCTTCCCTGCGTGCGGTGCCACACGCTGGGATGCAGAGGAGCTGAGAAAAAGCCAGCAACTCCAGACACTCTCTAGGATGGGGCGGCTGTCGCATGGCCACCTTATCGGGAGCACAGGCCACAGCCTGCTCGCTGTGTGGTGGATGAGCTCAGCTGGGGGTTTAGTGACACAAAGTAAACACAGCCCACATTTCTCAAGATCCAGACTGGGCCTGGTTCATGACACAGCAGTGATGCGCTGCTCAAGAGAAGCCAGACCCCATCGAGCGACCGCAATTCGAGTGCCTGGCTCAGTCGGCCTAAAACACACTGGGCACTCATGAGTGCTTGGTGTCTGACAAGCTGGAGGACTAGAGGAGTGGATCACAGCATGACCAAATCCTGCAGAGGGTGGTCTTCCCTGCCGCACAACATGTGCATGTGCTCTATCACAAATAAGGGAGGAAAAAAAAAAAAAGACCCAAACTATTCTCTGGTTCCAGTGGTAAATACCAGGTGGTACCAACCCAAACTGGAGGCCAATCCCAATAGCAGTGGCTGCATGCAGTCCCCAGCAAGGCTCATGAAGCAACATTTCAGAATGAAAAGTCAGGGCACACAAAAATGGACCCAGCGTTCTCTAAGGAGACTAGGCCAAGGTGAGGCATGTCTCAGGCCCTGCTCTGGCCATGCCATGAGGCTTACTTGGAGTCATCTGTCCAATCGATGCATGTGGTCTCATCGTACGGTCCAAAGTAGGTTTTGTCCAGGACAAACGCATTGAATTCTCGCTTCCTCCCAGGGGCATGGTACATCTGGGCAATGTTGCCTTTTGTGACAACAAACTTCCTATGGAAGAAATGGAGACCCAGCAATCCAGATGGCAACAGTAGGGAGACCACTGTAAGAGCTCAACACATGGCTCCCTGGGCCTCCAAGTCCCACCTTTTTCCCTGTAGGGCAGAGGCTGAGGAGCTAGGGAGGGGGAGGCAAAGGCGGGAATAAAGACACTATGACCCCCCAGGCCACACTGAGCCTGCTGCTCTGGATGCCACCAAAATGGCTGCCATGACACCCTGACCCCGAGTGGGAGGAACTAGGCAGGAGGTTAGACCTTAACCCACCACAAGGCTGCCCTTACCTGCCATCAGGGGAGAAGGAGACACTGTGCACTGAGCCCTTGAAGTGGAAGTGGTGGAGCACGGACCTGCAGACCAGGCTGACCAGCAGTGCATCACCCCCTGCAGGAGGCCAGAGGTGATGGCTGTGTAGCCATCCCAGGAACACCCTGCTCCCCGCGCCCAGACACGGTACTTTCACCTCTCCTCCATAGGTTAAAGTCAGGACAGTTTTGCACTTGTCTATTTTGGGGCATCAGGATTCTGGAATGCTGGTCCTAGGATCCTGAGGCCCAGCCCTGCCAGGCAATGCCAATATACCCTCATCCCCAAGCCCTAGGAAGACCCGAGGCATAAAAACCATTGGGAGTGGACCGTCTTAGCCCAGTGACCCTCTGAAGGCCCGGCATTTGCCTCCTGCCACCCCCAAGTCCTTCTTTCTCCTCTCCCCCTGCCACTGCCCACATGGAGGACAAGTACCTTCATCGACAATGATAGCAAGGCGACCATCTGGGGACAGTCCCACACACTTGACATTATACCGAGTGGCCAAGGGCAGTGTGTCAGATTTGTTGCTGAGAAAGATAAAAACCACAGGATGTAAAAAACAAAAGAAAAAAGAAAACCTTAAGGTGCAGTCAGTCTCATTTGGACCACCCCTACACCACACCCTTCCAATCCTGCTGACTCCATGGGCAAATGCTATCCCTCATCCTCCCTGGAGAAAGAGGAGCTATATCATTCCTGAAAAAAATTTGTGAAACATATTAAAAGCCTTAAAAATGAGGTTTAGATACACGATCTTGCTTTTTGAACCATATCCTAGGATTCTGCACACAGATGTCAAACCATATGAAGCTACACATTGAGCCAAGGAGACTGACCACATGACAGCTCATTCAATTGACAAACCATTTAAGGAATGCAGAATGCACAAACATAGAAAAACAAGTATTAACAGTTTGGAGTATTTTTAATGTCAGAACAAGGTTCTAATTGCCCTATTTTATTTTAAAATTTTCTTCAACAAAGATGTAGCTGTTACTCTAGGAAGCTCCTCAGCAGATGTTGTAATAACACAGCAGCTAATGCCAACACACCCTGCCCCAGTCACTGCGAGCACAGCAGGTGCTGCAGATAGGGAAAACCGAGCCTCGGACCACATGGCTGGAGAGCTACTGAGATAGACTTAGGTATATGTTGGCCAGACTGCAGAGGTTAGCCCACAGCCTCCCAACAAGTCTGGGAGAAGTTCAGTCCCTCCCCTGGAGAAGACAGAAGAAAACCACATTCTGTTCAGAAAGGACAGCTAAGCTTGGGCACCCAGAACAGATTCCAGACCTGGAAACTGGGCCTGCCTATCTTCTGTTGAGACCCACGGCATCAGGGCTCCTGAACAGAAGGTCCAGGTGGCTTCTGCTCCCTGGGAACCATCTGGTCATGTGTCCCTTTGGGGACCTCCATTGACAGGGACTGCCCCTGAGCCACAGCTCTT